TTTATACCAAATTTTAGTGACATGCTTATATTTTATAGTTCAAACCGAGCCAGAAAAGTTTCAAGGACAAACCCTGGAAGAACAGCTTAATACATGTAAAGATTCGGAACCTGCCCTCGGTGAGCTTTTTTTGTTCCGTGCTATAACTAAATGCCTTTAAAACAGTGGTCTCCAACTTTTTTTATGGTGAAGATCACATTTTGGCACCCAGGATCTACCATCCCTCCCACATACACTCCCTTACCCTCCACACACAGTATATGAGTAATACTTCATTTTGAGCTATTATGCAATCACCTCTATATACACTACAAACATACACAAATCAAATCTCACACAAATTTTGAAATAAAATTAAAATATGTTATAGTAGTTGGTTTTGATTTTTAGTATATGATTTTTTTCAGGTTTCAAGATGGCAAACCTTCTCCCCTTCTCTTTCCCCCCACCCCCCAGGGTACTTTAGGGCAAGGGGACGGACTTCCAGTAGCAAGGGTCAGGGGCTAGGGGCAGGACTTCTGGTCCCACGATGGTGACCATGGGGTAGGGCACCTGTCAAGGGGTGGGGCTGGGGTAGCCCTCAACTGCTAAGTAAAGTGGCCCTTCAGCCAAAATAATTGCTTACCCTTGTCAAGCAGTGGTCATGTCTACCTTCAAAGAAAGATGGTGGGGGGGGGGCAAAGGGAATTATACATTAGTATATAATAAGGCAATAAGAAAGAGCCAATATGAAGTAGCCCATATGAACTTGCTTAGAATAAATCATACCAAATCAGTTTAATTTCCTTTGCCAGGGTAGCCAGCCTTAGTGGATGAGGGGGGAAGCAGTAGATGTGCTTACTAATAATGATGATAAATAGAAACTGTTAGACTTAAGGAGGAAAAATCAAATGCCCAGGTACACAATCAGGGATAATTGGCTAGGCAAAAATACTGCAGAAAAGGATCTGAACCACAAACAGAATAAGCCAGTAGGAAGATGCTGTTGTCAAAAGGCTGATCTCATTCTGGGACTTAAAAAGATGTCAGCTCTAAGATTGGAACACAGCTGTTCGATTCTGCTTGCGTTAGGCTGTGAAAAAGAATTTGTGATGTAAATTGACAGAACAGTTTCCTGAGTTGCCCAGTACCCATAACTGCATCTTCTATCAGTAGAATGGCAAAAGTACTAAACTTGAGTATAGGATCATTTATTTGTGCTTTCGTATGGTATCAAACTTCTGTTCTGTATCTAGGAGTATAACAAATATGTGTTTAATGCCCTGAGGAGGATATAAAGAAGTTGATATGGTTTTGGGAAAGCTTATGTTAAATCTAACAAATGTCTTCATTTTCTTTTCCCCCACTCAAGTCTCCGTTGTTCTTGATGTTTCTGGATTCCGTTTGGCAATTGCTTGAACAGTACCCAGCAGCCTTTGAGTTTTCTGAAACATACTTGACATTATTGTATGACAGTACACGGATCTCACTGTTTGGCACTTTCCTTTTCAACTCTCCACACCAGCGAGTAAAGGAAAGCACTGTGAGTATAAACTATATTACCTTATATTCAAAATGACTAAAATTAAGCCTCGTTACTGTTCTGGAAATAACGTCCACATTAAGTAGTACAGGAAACTCTTGTTATTTGTGGGTTTGGCATTTGCAGTTTCAGATATTCACGAATGCCGAACCCGCATTTTAAATGCACTTTATGCACTTATAGGAGCTCCTCAGGAGCTCCACACTTGCTGCTGCCACACTCCCACCGCAGCTCCTGCTGTCACTGCCGGAGGCTTCCCCCCCACCACCAGGGGTACTGCGTTCATGAATGCAGTGCCTTATTTGCAGATTTCGTCATTTGTGGGGGATACGAGAACATATCCCCCCATGAATGGCGAGGGTCACCTGTATTCATTTGGACTTTTTGGCAAATACCAGACTTACAGCAGGAGCTTTTAAAGAAAATAGTCACTTAAGGTGAATGTCAATAAGACTGACCCTTATACATACTGTAAATCATAGATAGCTGTAAATATTATACATCTAACTGAGCATTGTTACTGTTTCCTTCATCTGACTACATTCAGGGACCTACAGCAATAGTTTTGCAATGTGGAAAGTGGGTTAGGATTAGTATGTAACTGCATTGCTTCTCTTTGGAAACATGGTTAGTCACAGAATAATAGGAAAGTAGAGTGGGATGGGATCCTATGAGGTCCTTTAGTCCAACCCCTACTCAAGGCAAGATCACCCATGTAAGCCATCTAGAGAAGTGTATGCCTAACTTAGAGGCCCTGGCATGTCCTTTCTTAAGGCTTCAGCAGAATATTGGTTCAACAAGGCCTGAGCTTCTAGCAGGCCTCTCTCTCTCTTAACCCCTACCTTCTCCTTAGTTTAATGAGGTCTTGGCTTCTAAATTGCCCCCTTTCCTCTCCCTTCTTGGAAAGTGACCAGGCTTGATTGGACTGGCAAAAAGAAATCAACAGGGAATGTCAGTGCCTTTTGCAGATCACACCTTGAGGTCAAGTCAAGTGAGACATCTTCCAGGAAGAAAGGAAGGTTTGACAGGAGGTTTAACAATGATAGGATACTAACTGGGACATGTACTTTTTGAATCAATGCTAGTATATTCTAATAAAAATGTTCTTAACCTAGAATTTGGCTTGTAGATATCTAACCATTACTTGAACAGAAAAAAAAGAATTGAGGGAGCACAGAGTTTCCTCAGAAAACATGGTAAAACTTAACAATGTGACACAAAATAAATATTCCATTAAAAAAGCGGAGGTGCACTCATATATCAGTCCATATCATATCGGCACTGACAGAAGGAAAATTGACATTATCGGCAGTCAGCTTTTTTTGGCTGATGTGGCCGAAAATGTCACCAATAAATGCCGCGTGCATGCACGCAGTAATTGCAGCATGCATGTGGCCAGGAATGCAGCCTGGCAGCTTGGGGAGCAGCATCTAGCTGGTAAGTCTGTAGCGAGGAAGGGGTTGGGGGGGCATATCAAGGCCCCCATGGTGATGGAGTGAGTGGGGCTGGGGCAGGAGCAGGAACTGCTCAGCCAGGGCAGGGTGAGGTGCAGGAGCCACCTGTGACTTGTCCAGAGGGTGCAGGGGCTATGGAGGAGGCTAGCTCCTGCTGCTGCACGTACCTTCAGGGGAGACACAGGGGGCATGTGCCCCCCAGATTTGTGTGCAGGGTGAGGGCGGGCTGCCTGTTGTGGCTGGGGACTGTGTGCTGGCCTCTTCCTGATGGGGTGGGGGCGGGGGCTGGGGCAGCTCAGGCAGTGGTGGTGCTGGGTTGGGGGAGCTATGGGGTGAGCTACAGCCACCCCAAAATTCACCATAGTGTCCTACTCCCAGCACTGCCACCGCCTGCCCTGCCCCCACAGGCCCCTAGTGTAGCCCTAGCTCAGCTCCCCCTGCTGGGAAGAGGCCAGTGCAGCCCTTGACAGACGGCTTGCCTTCGCCCCACGCACAGATCCAGGGGGCACACGCTCCCTGTGCTTCCCACACGGGTGCACTCAGCAGCAGGAGCCATCCCCCCACATACCCCACGGACAAGCTGCCGAAGACTGTCCCGCACCCACCTTGCCCTGGCTGGGTAGTACCTGCCCGTGCCCCAGCCCTACTCCCTCTCCCATGTCCTTTCCCCCCCAACAGACTTACCAGCTAGACGTAGTTCTCCAATATGCTGCTGGGCTGCATATCAGCAAATGGATTAGTATCAGCCAATATGGCTAGTTAATAATTGGCCATTGGTACTGGCCAAAAAAATCTTTATCAGTGCAACCCTAAAAAAAAGTAAATGAAAAAGAAAGCATAGGAATGTGGTTATTGCAAGGGAAAACTTAGGCCAGTCCCCACATTGCCATCTCCAGAACAAGGAAACTCCAAGATTAAATTCCATTCCCCAGCAATAGATATTTGTGTTGGTCTAAATACTGGCGCACACGATCTGCAGCTATCTGCACTTTAATCCAGGCTACCCTGTAGGCTCAATCCAGGGTTTTATACTTGCAGCTTTGTAAGTAAATTACTGCATCTTGCTCTTAATCAGTTTACTTATTGTTTCTTGTAGGAATTTGCTATAAGCAAAAACATCCAGCTGGGTGATGAAAAAGGCCTAAAATTTCCTTCTGTGTGGGACTGGTCTCTACAGTTTACAACAAGGGATCGTATGCTGTTTCACAACCCTTTGTATATTGGAAAGAGTGCACCATGCGTACAAAATGGGGCCGTGAAATCTTTTAAACGGTCAAAGGTAATACTGGGATTCAGATGCTTGTTAGTGAACTACTTTGCCTTTTATGAGTGTAGTTATGAGATATACTAAGATGTCATGTGTAGAAGTAATTGTAAGTAGTTTTTCAGAAGCTTATCTGCATAATTGGACCAGATACATTCATACCTCATTTTAGCAGTGAGAGTGCTGTCTTTATTGCTGTATTCCATAGTGTCCAACCTAAAGAAAATTGAATTTCTCCATGTCTCTGTTGTTGGGTACATGTCTTCCAGTGCACTTTATGTAAGCCTGGACTTACTGTCTAGAGAGAAGAGATTTGATGATTTCAGTTTGTTCCCCTTGTTCAATATCTTAGAAGTCACTGTTGAAATATACACGCGCCTATCTTATAAGGCTGTGAGTGGCCTAAGTATTTGTCATGTGAGCGATGCTGTGATTACACACAAGCTTGGTACAGCTGTTAAGGGTGGCCACATTTAATTGGGAGAGCTAGAAACCTACTCAGTCCCCACTGGAGTCCAGTGAAGCATTGTAGAAGAGCAGAACTCCCTGTTGCCGCTGGTGTTATCTGTTGCACTAAATTATCTGTTTGTTTTCTGCAGAAGAACTACAGCTCCACTCTGAGAGGAATCCCACCAGCCCTAAAGAATGGGATCATCAGTGAGCAAGAGTTTCTTCCAAGAAGAAACTCACTGATACTAAAACTGAAACCAGACTCTCTTCAGCAGGCAGCCAGCCATAATAATAGCTTGGAGCAGTATTTCAGAGCCTGGTTTTCCAAGCCTGTTGACCTGCATGGTGTGATTCTACCACAACTCTCTGGAACGCACGTAAAACTGTGGAAACTGTGCTACTTCCGCTGGGTTCCAGAGGCCCAAATTAATAATGGTGGCTTCATCACTGCCTTCCACAAAATCTCTTTGCTGGTAGACGAAGTTGACATGCTAAACAGGAGTCTTAGACAGTGTAAAAGCAACCTGTCTCTGCAAGCAAACTGTTCAGAACTGGATCAAAGCAGGATGTATTTCAGATCAAGTGGTTTAAATGACATTTCTGGGACTTCAGACTTTCTCTCCTCCTCATTCCCCTTTTCTCCTATAGGAAACCTATGCAGACGGAGCATTCTGGGAACACCTTTAAGCAAATTCTTAAGTGGTGCCAAAATCTGGTTGTCCACTGAGACACTTGCAAATGAAGACTAAGATATGATGATGCTTTAAACATTGGGGGTGGGGATAGATCATTGTGTGTCTTCTCTAAGTTAACACTGCTAATTGCAGCATCTGAAGCTGTAATAATTTTATATACAAATATTACCTATGTTTTTGCACAAATATTTAAAAGCAAAGCAAATCATGCTTCAAATCGCACAATTTTGTTTCCAGCAGTTCTCATGTAAGCGTCTTGTCTAGAGTCTGCTTCTTCCTGTATTTTCTAGGCCCAGCTCGTATAAGATGCAAAACTTTCACTTGCTCATCAAAGGTTTGGTGTGGTCACTAATAAGGTTTTTGTTCTGTTTGCAGTGTCTGTTTTCCCAGATGTTGATTGACTGAAGTGAATCTTGTGTCAGTACAAATTAGCAAATCAAATGGGTGAAAACAAACATCAAAGAAAATGAGAAGGACTGTAAAGGACACAGGCTAATATCAGTTGTGGAAATATGGGAACGAATTACTTGTCCCAACACAAGTTTAGGAGGAATGTATTTCTGTGCTAGCTTTCTGTGACTTGTTTCACCTAGTGTATGTGTTGGTGTTGTGTGCTCCTGTTCCCCCCCTCCCCCAAATCATCCATTGCAGATGATTCATCTTCAGATCTTTGTTAATTCCGTGAGCTTGCGTTTATTTCACAGAAGCTAACTTCAGGACAACATGCACTGTTAACCTTAAAACTGTAGATAATGGTGGTCTTGTAGCCTTAGAAGTGCCTTTAATTGGAATGAAATATTAATTAGATGTTTCTAATGCATCCTAAGATGTAATTTTCTTTTCAGTAGGATGTTTTGAGCCTGTCCTCTTGCATCGAAACAGTGTCCACACTCTAACGTGCACAGTGAGCTTCAGAAGTCACTAAGGACTCAATGCAAAAATGGACTTAAGTGCCTGAGCTCCATTGGTGCCCATTCCCTGATTTTTCCAGGTGCTTGGGGTCCTGCCTCCCCACAGGCTCAGGGCTGAGCAGCTCGTGCCTTAGCCTAATTGGGAAAGGGGTCCTCTGCCTAGGTCCCAGGGGGCTGGAGCAGGCAGGTGTTCTGTGTGCACATCCAAACACAGATGTTGCAACAACTAGTTTCCTTTAAACTGGGACTGGAGGAAGATGCTGCCATTTCCCCTTCACATACGCTTCACAGCTAAGCATTTCCCCAGGAAGTAGGAGACCTGGGTTCTGTTCACTTCCCTACCTAAGGAAATTCATCTTCAGCAGCCAGTAAAATAGGGAAGGTGCTCTCCCACCCCTCCCATTGAAGCTGTCTCTGTGCAGAAACTGCAAGTTAAGCTGAAAGAATGAGCACAAGAGGGAACCTGAGGCTCCAGCCTCATGGTTAAGGCTCCAACCTCATGGTTAAGCCAGGGGGGGCATCCTGGCTGCCAGTCTTTGCTCCCAGGATTATATCTTCATGGAATAGTGACTGTATAAAATATGCAGGTGTAAAGACCTTCCCTGTCCTTGGCATTTCCCTAGTGTCTAGCTGCAGGTGGCTGTATGTGGAATTCAAGTTTTGGGGCCAGGCACCTAAGTCCCGTACTGGATCTGACCCTAAAAGCCATTATTGCTCATCCCTCTGAACAGCATTACCACATGTAAATGTATATCAAAGTGCCAGGGAAACTGAAGTTCTCTCCATCTGTGTGCCTCAAGCTGCTTAGTTGGCTCATAGTTAGTTTACCCTGCACATTTCTGGTGTGTCTGCTTGCAGGAGTGGCTGTTGCCCTGGGAAGATCCAAAGAGAAAGGCATTTAGTTGTTTTTTGCCTCTTTGATATAGAGTTAGCTCTTCCTCCCTCAAGGCTGTGTGCGATGATTGTGCAGCACTTGCTTTCTCACTGTGCGAGGGCAAGAGGTGACTGACAAACAAAAAATCACTCTTCATAAAAACCAAACCAAATCTTGTTTTCACCAGGAGAGCTGGCCAGGTATTTCCCAATTCATCCTTTCTTTCTACCCTTGGCCCTAACTGTGCTGCTAGGAGGGCTGATCCTGCAAGGGCTTTCACAGACCGCAAGATGACAGGGCTGTCTGCTGGAGCTGCCCTTTCATTCGACAAGCCCAGTTTTTCTGCTGGTTAATTTAGATCAGGTAGTGCTCTCCCTGGTCTGACACTTGTTATACAAGACCTCAACCTGTGTGCTAACTTTGGTACCAATTTTTTTTAGAAGTAATAAACCACTCTAACAATTTTTATGGTATAAAAAGTAAAATAGTTTCCTTAATGTGCTTCTTGCTTTGAAGTCCGTTTTTCAACTAATCAGCATTTGGTAAATAAATTGCTTTAACCAGATGAGCTTCTTGCAGAGAAAAGGGTTAGTGTTTGGAATGGGAACTGCTAAAAAAAAAAAAAAAAAAAAATGGCTGCTTGTACCTGTACAAGGATGACTTGCAAAGTCATATAGCTTGCATTTTCCATACCTTGCATTCAGCCCATCTGTATTTATAGGCTGCAAGTATTCTTGTTGATAAATAATAGGCCTTTAAAAACAAAAACTGCCTAAATACCTATTTGCCAAATGGAACGGTTTAAGAATTTGGGGCAAATGGGCGTGCCAGGTGTGGGGCGTATCTGCTGCTCTCTAGACATCATTTGGTTTCATCATTCAGGTCTGGTCCTAGATGTTGAGCCTTCTTGCCTGGGGTGTTTATCCCTGAATAATAAAATTGCTGAAAGCCTCAATTAGCTGCTGCAAAGCAGTTACTAATAATTTATAGTCCAAGAAATGTACAGTTGCTTGACATGGTAAATTCAAGTTCCTGGTCTAAAAAGCTGCCTTACTGTCATACAGACTGACCTGACCTGACCTGAACCTAGGCAGGGTCCTCACTTCTTGTAAGTGGTCCTAAGGACTCAATTCTTATGTTCATTGATATTCCCTACACAGAAGCTTACACCTTCTAATTGAGTTTTGTTTGCCATTTTAAAACTAGGTACTATTAATACCATTAAGAGTTTTAAGAGTAGGAAGACTATAAACATGCTTATTTTTTTATATCATTATTGTCTAGCGACATGCACTGCTTTGGTTGGCAATAGGCTGTTACATCATGATTTTTTTTTTTGTACTAGATTGTAAACAATATGGAAAATTGAACTGCTGAGACATGAAGTTCTGGTTGATGTGGAAGTACAATGCCAGTGCCTTTTGCTGTTGCAGAGTGGAGGTCAAACCAATGTCAGAAGTTGTGACAGTACAGATTTCTTCAACCAGTCACTGGCAACTACCAAGGAAATGGTTATGAATGTAGCATTCCACTGAAATAAGTAATGTGGGGTTTTCGCTGCATTTGGAATACTACTTTAATATTAATCACCTTTATGCTTTTAACAACGGAGTAGTATGGGCAAAGGTTTTGGCTTGATTTCAGATGGAAAGATTCATTAAAACCAAAAAAATTCTAACATTTTTGATGAAGGAAAGGATGAAGCCTTTAATCTGCATCTAATGTGTGAGTGAAAAAACTGTTCCCCAAATTGCTTTAGGCAGTACATTCTTAATGCTGTTGCTGCAAGAGTTGACTGTTTTAATTGAAACTAAAACCTTTTGTGCCTAACAATGACTTATTTAATAACGTAGTATTGCCAGGACAAATACAAAATCCTGACACTCAGTTGTGAATGTGAAGTAAATTAGACCTAATAAAAGTTCATGCCTTTCCACAGCAATTATCATTTTACTGCTTTTCTTCTGAGCAACTGTAAAATGGAGCCGAGCTAAACGAGGCTGCAGAAAGAGCACTGGAGGTTTCTGCTGTAGTGCAGCCTCTGATTTCTCATAATTTCTTTCTTAGAACTTCTGGTGTTTAATTTTACTCGCTACAAATCAGTGACGGATTAGGAGAAAATCCAACCCAAACTGAGACTGTTGTCAATATTTTTAACTTGATTCTAAGCAAAATGGTTTAAAATTAAAGTCAGTTTGTTATAAAGCTTCATTTTGAGAGATTTCTGTTTTGCCTCCATTGAGTCACACATTCAGCAAGAGATGAACTCTAGCCATAGCTGTATTTCCTTACTTCAGTCATTCCCAACCAGGTGCCTAGAGATCCTTTCAAGGGTGACACCCAATGTTAGCACTGTTGAGTGTGCAAACATGCGTCCCAAGAAACCTAGAGATTTCAAATAGGAATCCATAATGTTAAAAACATTCTAACCTGTTATAGGCTTTGAACTCATGGCAAGAAGAGCATTGTTCTTACTTTTCTATAATAAAAAATGAGTAAAAATGAAAAACTTGCATTTCCCTAGGGATGCTGTAAATTTTAAATGGTTAAGAATCACAGACTTATTATACGTCAGCATGAAGATTGAGAGATGCAATTTACACTTGCCTTTGTAATGACGAACATTTAAACTGAGTGACAAAAAAAAAATGTAAAAAAATCCTTGTTCTATGGTGCTGATTAATATTTTCTATCTTCCTTTTATCATATGGCTAATATGAATCATCATTGCTTTACCTTGGTCCTAAAACAGACTTAAAAATATTTCTTTTTTTTGGAAATACGAAATCAAGACACTTCAAGAGTGACAAATCTGTCAATCAGTAAAAGAGAATGAAGTACAGAGTGCTGGTGTATTTCCTTACTAGGTAAAGGATCGAGCTGAAAAAATATAATGAAATACAAAGGATGTCAATGGGCAAGACCTAAGCTTAAGGAGACTAGATGCACGGTTTATGGGAGGGAATTACTCTGGTGTTCAAGCTCCTGGCTTGACCTAGGACAAACACTAAACAAAACATGCTAATGTGAATCAACAGGAATAGAAAAAATGTGAGAATGGCCAAAGGGTGTGCAGGGCTAAGGTTACTCATTGCAGCTATATCATGATGGAGGGAGGGGCATTGTATTTTAATATTTAGTAGCTAAAGTATATAAAACAGGGAAAGGTTTTTTTTGCCACTGGAAGGAGCAAAGGTACAGGCTAAAGCTCTTATTTCCGAGGGGTAGCCATCTCACTTGAGCCACAACTTCAGTTTGTTTGCTTCTTTATGACCCTACAAATCTTTTCTTCTTTTTGGGAGGGGTGGGGAGCAGCCCCACAATCTGGTTGCATCTGGAAAGCACAAATAGGAATGCTGCAGTGTTTCAGGGGCCTACTTAAGAATTACTTATCTCCAGAAAATGTATTAGCCTCTGAGGCCATGTCTGTAAATGAGAGAGAGCCATTAGTGTTTCATAAGCTTTATTATTAAAATATTTCACTCATGCCCAAATCCAATGTAGTCAAGATCAATTTAGTCAACTGAGGCACTTGCTCTTGGCTCCAACTGCAGCCACATGACAGACCTCTACTGCAGCTCCCAGCTGCTTCAGCTCACTCAGCCAGAGCATCTGCTTGTGTGAAAGGCGATCGTTGGGCCCCTTCACTTCCACCAGCTGAAATAAAGGGTCAGTGATGGTTAAGAGCTAAAAGCAGTAGCAGTTCTCTCCCTTTTTGTCTTGTTTTTCTTTACATAAAGAACAGTTATGAGAAATCCCTGCATTCAAAAGTTATGCACCCCCCTCAGCTTTGTGGAAGATTCATGTAAGCCTTGACCCTGACCACACACGTTCTGATTACAGTATATTAGAAGTCTTCCTTCGAATTGATAAATCTTGTCCACAATGCTTAGCTTGGTTCGCCCTGACAGCATGTGCTCAAGTTTTACACTGAGCCTTCCTGGGTACATAGTATCTATTTCCCACATTCTCATCACTACACGTCAACCTCTGTGACCCCCCCTATAAAAGAAAGAGCATGTGTATGAATAAAAGAAAGAGCTAAGTTTTTCACATTCCTGAAGTCACATTGTAGGTTAAGAACAATGCCAAAAATCATGACAGTTGGCAATACTGAGGAATAAAGTATTGCTATTATTTCATCTGTGTCCCACCCCCAAAACACACACACACACACACACATCAGAGACAAATG